TATGACAATAATAACATCTAGGCTTGTATTGATAATCTAGACAGTTTTTTTTTAATCCTATAAATAATATATAAGTAATCTCTAAAATAATCTATAAAAAGCATGCAAGCGAGCCATAATGATGAAAAGTGGTCCTTATGTCCTCCAGCAGTCTAAGCCTATAGCAGCGTTACTATAGAGATAGCTCAGGATAACCAGAGCCTCTCTGACTATAAGCTTTATCAAAAAGGAACGTTTTAAGCCTAGCCTTTAAAGTAGACAAGGTGTCTGTCTCACAGACTAAAAGCTAGCTGGCTCCACAGGACCAAACATCTGTTCATGTACATTTGGATTAATTTATGCAAGCTCTCTTTTACACACCTTCTTCTCAGTTGTTTCTCTGTCTTAGTTCATGTCTCTGTGTTAATTAGTCAATTACCTTAGTCTGGTTTATATTCTGGCAAAGCATTATTCTTTGATCAAAGCACCAACTTCCCATGTGATTCTCCACACATCCCTCAATATTTAAGTTCACTGTTCTGCCATTGTTCTCCACTGGATCCCTCCATTCTACTGCCATGGATTTCGGTTCTTTGCTAAATTTACATGTTTCTTACTCTAATGTTTTTTGTCCTTATGATTCCTCAACTCAGTATGCTGCTCTAGAGTTCCTGTCTAAAATATGGTCATGTTACTCAACCACATAAAACATGACAATGGGCTATACAGATCAGACTGTATCGCAGAGGTAATAACAGTGTAACAAATAGTGAGCCGATGGATGCTTCAGTTTCTTTCAGAAACATTTATTAGAGAACTTTGAACAGAGCTGTAGGCACTAATCTTTCTTTCTCAGAGCAACACCAGTGGACCAGATTATGACACACAGCATGTAAGTGATGACGACACATAGTGGCTAAGCCTAGGGCACACTAGAGGCAACATACAAGAAATCAACAACAGGTGGCAGCAGTGGAACATATTCTTAAATAAGAATGTCAATAACTGGGAATCTTACCAGGCCAGCAGTTATACAAACAAATAAAAGTTTGTATGTGTATTCTTTTTATATTAAGCCTACAGTTGAATATTAGCAAAAATCTGACATTAAATTTAAATTTTGTTGTAGCGTCATAATCTTACACTTAAATGTTATTAAATGATGTTTGACATTTATTTTTAAGGGAAAAAACAAAGAAAAAAATGAAAGCAAGCCATTTCTAAATATGAATTTACCCGAGGTCATTTTTTCTTTATAATGGGAAGCATAAAAAAATTCCAATCAAGTTGGGCTCATGAAGTTTATTCTTTATATGTGTGGAAAAACTTGTCTTTTATCTGCAGTTAAGCAAAAGCAAAGTAAACCTGGGAGCGTGTCACTATAAAAGAAAATCAAAACAAGTAGATTCAATTCAATTTTATTTTAATTTATGACTACTGTCCTTTACCTTAAGCAGGAGCCTTAGTTAATCAACAAAAAATGACTTATTTCGAGGTTGAATTTGATTTCACAAGATTGTCCACTTTTTAACCCATTGTCCCAATCCCAGTTTTTGGAGACACTGATCTTTTCCCTTTATGCACCATGTTCTGTTACAATAGAATATTAATCGATATTTTGAGTTAATTAAACAACCTTCTAACCCAATTAAGTCTGTCTGTTTTATCCATGAAAAGCCCTTGATGAGGTAAACTAATCACAGCTGATTAGTTTAAATAGAAAACTTGTTAGGCACGATTCTGTTAGAGTTTGTCTAAAGCACACATTCAAAGACAACTCAATGATCCAAGCACCTGGTTGAAAAGGGTAGATCTTGTTTATATATCAGGGCTAAATTCAATTTGTTTCTTCTTATTGGGTTTAGATCAGACCTCAGAAAATCACAATCTGCGCTGAACAATAGCTATTCTTGCAGTCAGTGTTTTGCTGTCCAGATGGCTCAGTCGGAGTAATTCCCCTCAGAAGCGGCTCACACTAATCCTCCGGAGAAACTGAACTGCCTTGATCTCATGCCTGCATGGGAGACGGAACTGCTAGTACCCTTCTTGTTTGCTATTTTTTCCAACATTGAAGCCTCTTGGCTTAAAGATCATAGCATAATCTGTTCCTTTACTGCAAGGACATGACTGTCCTGGTGTGATCGCCTCTGCAGCAATCATCAACCTGGTCCACATAGAGCGAGGAGCTGCTCTGTGAGCTTCTCGGTGTTAGCAGAATGGTTAAGGCTGGATAGCAGAGGAGAGAAAGGAGGGAAAGAGAATATCAGAATCATAGGTGACAGCAGGCTGATTAGCTGCAGATCCATGACTGTTTTAATCTCACTGTGGGAACTCTTCTGGCAGGATGGGGCAACAGAATATCAGGTAGATTTTTTCTTTTTATTGCCATGTTGATTTGAATGTTTCTTGTGATTGTTCCTTAAAGAAATACTTCGAGACATTTTCTATCTAAGTTATCCAAAAGCCTCAAAGAATGCCAGTGACTATTTGCTTAATCCTGTATAATTTGTGCAAGTTAATAGCTGCTTTTAGATGTTTGTACTCTAATCACTTTCAGCTTAAATAAACTAAAACATCCCAGGTTGTTACACAAATGATCAGATCTGCTCCAGAATTTATGTTCCCCTTTTTTGTGCATTTCTTGTGTAAAACTGTAAAATGTGAGTTTAAAGCGTTTTAAGTCTTTCTCCATTAACATAATTGCTTTTGGTTGACAGCATCTAGCTAAGATTAGCAGATGCAGCTCATTAAACATACATGCTGATGTACTGTGAAGCCGAGGGGTGGGGTAGAGCTTTAAAGCAACTAAAAATACTCTCCTTTTCCCTCTCTGTCTCTCTGCGCATGCTCCCACTTGTCCTGCCTTGGATCCATGCTACATCAATAATGGTGAGTCTGAAGATGCACACTCCACCCACCTCTTTACTAGAAATCAGTCTTGTTTTCCTCCAGGTTTATTTAGCTCCTTTATTTCCTACAGCCAGGGGTGACTGGTGTCCTTGTGTGGTTGTTTACTCCTCTCATGTAGATGTCAAATCTGCATGGTTCCTTACTTTGTAATCCAATTACCTGAGCTTCTTTATTAGGTTGGCGTATGTAATAGTGTTTGTGTGGGTGCTTAAGGACAGTAGCATTGCTTATGCAATGATCTGCCCATGCATTGTCTGTCTTTATATTTTTTTATTCATTTCATCAATAAAAGTTTTTATGTCTTATCAGAATTACTCTAAATGTTTTGCTCCATATATCGTTTAATGATAATCATACCAGAAACAGCAGGTACATTACTGGTATTTTTTTAAGTGTTAATTTCCCTTAGCTCTTTTTTTTTTTTTTTTTTTTTTTTTTTTTTTTATCATATCAGCTGTCATTGTTGTTAATTTTGGGTTTTCTGTGATATCCATCCAGAAAAAGAAAGAAATGTGTAGTGGAAGGCAAAAAAAAAAAAATAAAAAATGTAAGCAGTTAAAAATCTGAAGATGGGCAGTTCATTTATACGCAGCTCAATTTTTGCCATTTTTTTTCTTTGCAAAAAAAGATCTAGCTAGATTTAGTGCTGGACTTGTATTGAACACAGATATAAGGGCATTATTTTGATGTTCCCTTTTCAGTTTCCCTGCATCTATTTCTATCGGCTCTATCCAGCTTCCAAACCCTATTCTTGTAAAGCATTCCCACAACATGTTTCAGACTACTTCATGGTGAGGAGCTTGTGCTGAGAGTGATGCACCCTGTTTTTTTTCTGCCACATGTAGTGTTTTGCATATCGGCTGGAAAGTTCAGTTTTGCTTTTTAATCTTACAATAGCACCTTGTTACACAGGCTGTGTGTAGATTTGTGTACATCCTGTTGATGGATTCTCCTGTCTAAGCTGTGGATCTCTGCATATCATGGAGGGCTACCATGAGCCCTTTATTAGGTTTGTAGTGGTGCCTGACTAATTTCCTTTTATTTTTGTTTGTGGATTGGACAGTATCTGAGCTTGAGATGTTGTTTTACAAGCTTACACTCCTTTGATAAGCCTACTCTTCAAGCAAACCTTCAAGAGCTCCACAGAACAGTTGAATAAATTCAGACTGGGATCAGCTGTTCCCCGACAGACTCCTTTTATGAATTTATTCACTAATTGGGTATGCATTTTTTTCATTAGATTTAAATTAGGTGCATCTGAAGTAGAATATAAATATGTCATGATTTTAACTTTTATATTTGTTACACAATTTCTGATATTAATATTTCCTTAAATTTTACACTTATTTTCTACTTTGCGTCGGCTTAATTAAAGCGCATAATAAATACAACTTCAGCATGAACAATTTTTTTATTTATTTATCTTTTATTTATAAAAAAAAACAAACAGTTTTAAAGTCTTAGAAATATATCTTAAGATGATGTTGTAGAATATACCCTCTAGGGGGAGATGCCGAGCTACTCTNGAGCTCCACAGAACAGTTGAATAAATTCAGACTGGGATCAGCTGTTCCCCGACAGACTCCTTTTATGAATTTATTCACTAATTGGGTATGCATTTGTTTTCATTAGATTTAAATTAGGGGCATTGGAAGTAGAATATGAATGTATGTCATGATTTTTACTTTTATATTTGTTACACAATTTTTGATAATATTTCCTTAAATTTTACACTTATTTTCTACTTTGAGTTGGCTTAATTAAAGCTCATAATAAATAAAACTTCAGCATGAACAATTTATTTATTTATTTATCTTTTATTTATAAAAAAAAAAAACAGTTTTATAGTCTTAGAAATATATCTTAAGATGATGTTGTAGAATACAGCCTCTAGGGGGAGCTGCCGAGCTACTCTAGCTCTTTACACATTGGGTCGCACCAATAGCATGTCTATGGCCCAGCCCCTCCATTTAAAACTGACAAGCACAGCAACCAATCAAATTCCATAATTTAATACAGTGATTCATCTTAGCCAATGGGGACTGAGTAAATGATGGTTTTCACTGTAAAAGGCGGGACTTAAGGATGATGGACACCTCTGCCTTGAGCTCCAGCCAGATACTCGCTGTGTGTGTGTAGACTGTAGTTGAGATTTTTAGGAGGCTGAGGTAGTGGGACGTGCATTATTTTTCGGAGCAGAACCGACTGCGAGTCCGCGTTTCGGAAAAAAAAGAGCCTCTCTATACTCATCTCTGGAGGTTTTAAACAGGTATGGTTTGATTTTTTCACCTCCTTTAAAGTCACGTGATGGAGATATGTGCTACATATATGCTTGCTTCGTGTCTTTTTGGGGGGGGGGATTGGCATCACATTGTTATCTTTATGTTTTTCATTTTGAGTTAAATATGCTCCACTTGCTCTTAATTCTTGGGGGAAATGTTTATCTTAACGGTCCAAGGAACCTTTCCATTGAAGGCCGTTATGAAGGAAATTAATTCATACCTTCGAGGTAATGCGCTTCATGGCGCCTGCCTTCTTCCATGTTATCCCTGTTATCATCACCTTAACCCCCCTCCCTGCTTCCCGCTGCTTCTCCTTCGGATTTATTTACGTCGTTGGCGTAACTCACTGGTTTTTTTTTCTTTCTTTCTTTTTTGTTTCCTATCAGCTCAGGTAAATTTAGCCACATTATGCTATTTCATTCAAATTAAACAGACTCAATTTCTCTACAGGTCATTCTATTGATAGTGGTGCCTTCACGTGTATTTTAACGGTAGGTTTTGAAAATGATGCGTTTAAACATCCGGCCCCGTTTTTTTTTTTTGTTTTTTTTGGGACGACACACGTAGCAGCTTCCTGTCGCCGAGGAAACAAAGTAGTAGATGCTTTATTTCTAAAACATCACCCTGCTGCATTGCTACTTTGATTTTCTTTTATGTTATTTATTTTGTCAATAATAAAATCTCTTTATTATTGTTGTTTGTTCGAAATGAATGCAATGAACACGTGTTTTTCTTCTGGTAGGTAGTTTAGAAGCATGTATGGGTGGGAAATGAGGTCCCATTATTGTTGTTCCTGTGAGTTTAAATAATAATTTAGCCCTTGATTTGTGTTTTTTTTTACTAAGGCATCAATTGTTTTTTTCTCCTACATTTCTTTTCATTTAAAGGGTGTTTGTATGATCACATTTTACTCAAATTTGGACAGATGGCAACAGTTAGCTCAGACCATGAAATACTTGAGTAATCTAATATATGCTACACTGGTCATTAACAACACCCTTTTAGTCATTCCAGCTATTTATATCTAATATATATATATATATATATATATATATATATAAAAAAAATCCCTCCTCTGATTCTAAACTAAATGTGCAGCCTATGTCTGTATGTATCTGGATCTACTTTCTGGTCATATAAAAGAGATCAAATTATGGTGTTTTTGCTCTTAAATATGTCCAGAGATGTGTCCTCTGGAAGTCTGTACCTTAGCCGACTGTTAGGGTGAGAGGAAAATAAACAAAATCTTTATCCTTATCTAGTCTGGATGCAAGATTTTGAGCCTTCATAACTCAAAACCTTTTATCCATTCTGTTGCAACTATAACCTTAATTGAAAAGATTTCAAAGTGCTGAACAGCACCCAAATGATAAAAAGTAAAACAATATAAGTAAAACTATAATGGAAACAGATAAAATAGAAATAAAAGCATATAAAAAAGGAACTGGATGAAAATAATAAAACAGAACATGCCTGTCTAATATCTTTTGGGAGATTGTTCACCAAAGAAAAATGCCCACTACCCAGTTTTCCTCTCTGGATTTAGGGATTTTAAGAAAAACATTAACAGTGACTAGAGAGCACCAGGTGAAACATACAGGTGCAAACACTATAGAGACATAGAAAGGTGCCAGAACGTTGTTGAAATAACAGGAGCACCACCAACAGGAGCACCATCCATCACTTTTTTATTTTAATTTAATACTAACTTAAAACGAGCTGGCAACCTATGAAGAGTGTGAATTGTGATCAGCTAAACCAAGCTGAGCTTTGAGTTTAACAAACTAAAATCACTTTGTTTCACTTTCTCACAGAAAGAAAGAAATTGTTAAAAATTGTGAAAAATGTACAATCCTCTGTGCAATACGTGCTTGAAAATTGCCACTAAATTAAGCAGATGTCAATGTTATAAATGTTGTTGATTGTATATTAGAGCTGCAACAGCTTGGGCACGATTTAAGGAGCAGGAATAATTGTGTGGCAAAAAAATGAAATGACATAAAAAAAAATATAGACTATTTTTTTACTTTTTTGTGAGATTCATCATATCCATTGTAGATAATTGCAGTCAGATAAGAGTTTCTAACCGATTCTGATGTTTAGAAGAAATGCCTGTCATGTTGTTATTCCTCCAGAATTTATGAATTCAACTTTATGAATCAGCAAACAGAGAATCCATCTTGGTTTTGAGCTCTGCTTTTATGTCAGTGGTGTGCACTAGTCATTTATGTCTAAACCAGGATTACAGTCGGAGAACAGTTAGCAATGTCAGCTCCCGAAGAATTAGCTAACTGGCTCCATTATTGGTGTTATAGGAATCCATTTTGGTTTAGACAGCCCATTAGAGGCACTGATGGATACATCGATCAGGTTCTGACCCTCCTCCATGTTCATAGCCGTACTTTCCAGATTGATGACTTCCTGTGTTTTGTTGTGTTTTTGTTTTAACTCAAGCAGACGGCTGATTTTGTTTTTAATAATATGCTTAGTTATGCTGATTTTATAAATGTCTTTCATCGTGTACCATTCCCCCTGAGCTTTAGCATCCCGGTTGCTGAAATCTAATCTTACATGACCCCAAGAGCAGGGACAGTCACTGCAGCTATATTATTTGAATGCAGCATGTTAATGCATGGTAACGACCTACCGTGCAGAGGTGTAGGTGTAAGTTTAGGAAGCATGCGTGCCAGACTTTGTTTTCCAGCTCCAGGCACTGTTTGTTTATGTGCAGAATGAAGTGAGCAGGGCTCTGTTCTGTGGTGAAACTTTAAAAAGGGACGCCTAATTAGCAGAGGGCTCCAGGCTATCACACTTGTTGCACACAGTTAGTAAGATGGACCAAACCAGAACTGATTGGGTTTACACATTTTTCAGTGAGGTATTTTGCTCAGTTCGACACAACTTGGACTCCTTAAAAATCAGATGATGTCCCAGATTTTTGCTGTTTGCTGTATCATATAATCATTCCAGACCAAAAATAGTATCTTGATATAATTAAGCAAAAGATTTACGATGGAGTATTAGAATAAAGTTTTAACATTACGAGAATAAAGTCATGATATTATGAGAATAAAGTGAATTCATTGTACCACAACCCCTTTCAGAAAGAAAGCTTCAAGCTCTGACCAGCAAATGACGGCTGACCAGCTTCACCAAACAGTAACCTGAGTCCATTTTGACATACTGCCCGATTTGATACTGGTGCGCTAAAAGATTTCCGTATTTTTCAAACTGATACCAATGTGTAACTTCACATGATGCTCGAAATTCCTAATTTTAGGAAAGAGTGTGTCTTGTAAGAGTTGTCATAAAATACAACTGTATTCTCGTAATGTTAGGATTTTAATCTCGCAATTTTATGACTTTATTCTCTTAATTTTACTACTTTATTCTCGTAATTTTATAACTTTATTCTCATAGCGGCTGGCTAGCTCAAGTGGTGAGTCACCTGTCCTGTAAACAGGAAGTCTTGGTTCGTATCCCAGCTGGGGGGGAATGAGCTGCCAGTGTGTGGGGCCCTTCATGCTAATGCCAGCTTTGGGAGTGAAGGCCTAGTGGTTAGGGCATTGCGCTTGGAAACCAGAGGTTTCAGAGTTCAAGCCCCACTCCAATGGACTGCCACTGGGGATGGGGTAAATGCAGAGAGTTAATTTCGTTGCTCTATATTTGCGACAGTGTAATAACAATACAAATATTTATTTTTGTAATTTTACGACTATTCTTGTAATTTTATGACTTTATTCTCATAATACTGCGACTTTATTCTCGAAATAAAAAAACAAAACAAATGTCTAGCCCGGCCCTAATACTCTGTCGTATTGATTCATTTGACCAGATTTATTTATTTTTTCATAAAGTAAACATAAAGAAGCAAATCTGTATTAAAGCTTTATCTGACCTCTCACACAGGTGCATTCAGAAACAAGAAAATGACTATATTAAATTCTTCTAAGCTGAGTTTCCTGCTTTAACCTGAGTTATTAGTTTGAAGTTGCTGGCCCCTCAGCATTTTTCTCTCAATTGTTAGAACTACGTGGGAAACTGCCCAGAACTGAAAATATATATATATATATTTTCCCGAAATTCCCGAAGATTCCTCGGATGCAGAGCCGCCCCGGGGCCTACACAGCTCGTACTCCTGCGGGTGTGAGCGGCTGAGATGATTAAAAAAAAAGTTGGTTGTGTTATCAGACTTCGTTTTCACTGGTTCCCTACAAATTTTACAGATGACTGTGGTTTGTTTTCTGTCCAACTTGCCATGACCGAAATACTGCCAAACTGGCGAACTAGAAAAACCCTTCTTTGAAACAATTTCCTCCGCCTCTCCTTGCTGCGACATGTGCTCTGTGTTGTGGTTTGAGAGGGCAGCGCTTTGTGACGGCGTGCCTGGGTCCGCGATAGGGGTGGGTATTGCCAAAGAAGTCACGATTCGATTCGAATCTCGATTCACAGGCCACGATGCGATTCTATCACGATGCATCATGATACTTGAATTGTTGCGATGCATTGCAATATTTTCTCCTCCATGTTTTGTTTTTGAATGACACGGCACAGTATCCCGCGGCCGGAAATGCTTGTGACACAAGGCAGCGTGCGTCAACACATTTGCAGCGACATCTACTGGACTTGAACTTGTATTACACTTGTTTTTGGCTGATGTTCGCCAACCATTCATGCAATTTTTTTTATTCATATTTTAAAATTAATAATCGATACTTAGCGTCAAGAATCGATGCAGTAGATCACGAAAATTAGAATCACGATGCATCGTCATGACGATTATTTTGCACACCCCTAGTCCGCGATTGTGATTGGTTGGGAGGAAGTAGTGACTAGCATAAACCTACATGCTAGGCTACAATGAGAAGGAAGGAAAACTGCTTTTTTTTATCGAACTTTTATCGACGCTCTTTTTTTCTATTGCGCCACACGTCTATTGATTGCTATATATCGTTATTGAATTATCGCCCAGCCCTAATTTTGATAT